GGGGGGGCTGTAAGAGTGTTTTGGGGCTGGGGTGATGTTTTGGGGCTGTGAGGGTGTTTCGGGGCTCGACGGGATGTTTAGAGGACAGGGGGATATTTTGGGATCGGGGGGTGTTTTGGGGCCAGGGGTGTTTTGTGGCAGGGGGTGTTTTGGGGCTGGGAGTGTTTTGCAGTAGAGGGGGCTTGGGGGTGGGGTGTTTCGGGGTTGGGGTAGTGTTTCGGGACTGGTGCAATGTATTGGGGCAGGGAGTGTTTTGTGGCTGAGTGGGGGTGTTTTGGGGCCGGGGGTGTCTGGGGCTGTTGGAGGCCATCGTCCCGTCCCTCCCGCAGTACCTGCAGATGAAGTGGCCGCTGCTGGACGTGCCGGCCGGGGCCACGCTCAAGGACAGTCGCTCGCCCTCGCCCGCACACCTGGTAAGAACAGCCCCTTCCTGCAGGGTGGGGGATTCCCAGTGCCTCCCCACAATCCTGGAATTATGGAATCAGGAAGTGGTTTGAGTTGGAAGGGACCTTAAAGACCACTCAGTCCCACCCCTCTGCCCTGGGCAGGGACACCTTCCACTAGATCAGGTTGCTCCAAGCCTTGTCCTGCCTGGCCTGGAGCCCTCCCAGGGATGGGGCAGTCACGGTGCTGCTGCCCGGGGGGGGTGCTCCTGGGGGGGTGGCCGTTGTCCCACCCTCCCACGCGCTCTCCCCGCAGTCCAACAAGGTCCCGGTGGTGCAGCACGGCCATCACATGCACCCACTGACGCCGCTCATCACCTACAGCAACGACCCCTTCCCGCCGGGATCCCCGCCCGGCCACCTCTCCCCGGAGATCGACCCCAAGACGGGTGAGCACAGGGTGGGGGGACACGTTTGGGGGAGCAAAGGGAACGTGAGGGTGTGGGTGCTGTGCTGGGAATGGGGGGGCTCTCTGTTGGGTGGCCCCTCTGCCTCCTGGGTGCTCCCAGCCTGGTCCCTGGGAGGGGGCTGGGGATGGGTCCTCACCTGGTGGCAGGTTTGAGCAGGAGTGTGGGGATCCCCCCAAGGGCTGCACTGTGGGTGTCTCAGCAGCCTCTCCCCAGCCTGGGGTGACGGGTGCTGGGAGGGAGATGGGGTGCTCTGAGGTAGAGGGGGTGCTTGGCAGCAGACCAGATGCTCAAAGTGAGATGGGGTGCTGGGAGGGAAATGGGTGCTCACAGGGAGGGTGCTTGGAGGGAGACAGGGTGCTGGAGGCAGACAAGGGTGCTGGAGGTCCCCACCGCTGTAAAATTTGGGAATCATTCAGATGGAGATAGCTGGAGACTAGTTCAAGGATCTCCATGAACTGGGAAGGGATCTTTTTTCTGCTGAAACTCAGTGGGAGCTGGGGTGCTCAAAGGGAGGGTGGTGGAGGCAGACGTGGAGGACAGTGGGGGGCCCTGAGGCTGCTGTGCCCCTGTTCTAACCCCCCGTTCTGTCCCCTCTCTCCCTCGCAGGGATCCCGCGGCCGCCGCACCCCCCTGAGCTGCCCCCGTACTACCCACTGTCCCCCGGAGCCGTGGGGCAGCTCCCGCACCCCCTGGGCTGGCTCGTGCCACAGTAAGGATGGACTGGCCCTGGCACGAGGGTCGCTTCCAGCTTTGTGTCCCCGTGAATCCCGGGAGCCCACAGCCCCCTGAGACCCTCCTCCTCTTCCCACTTTACCCAGTTTCCCCTGCGAGTTCCGCAGGATGCTGCAGGCTCCCGTGGGGGGTGGGAAGGGAGGGGGTCCCCACCGCTGAAAAATTTGGGAATCATTCAGATGGAGATAGCTGGAGACTAGTCCAAGGATCCCCATGAAGTGGGAAGGGATCTTTTTTCCGCTGAAACTCGTGTTTTTGCAGGCAAGGACAGCCTGTGTACTCCATCCCTCCCGGTGGCTTCCGGCACCCGTATCCCGCCCTCGCCATGAATGCCTCCATGTCCAGGTGGGTCTTGGAAGGGGGAGGGACCCTCACGGGCATCCCGGAGCTGGTGGTCGGTTTTGAGACACTTCCCTGCAGAAAATGCACAGGCACAGACCAGTCCCAGAAGATCGGGGTGTTCCCCTTGCGTGAAGATCCCCCCGGAAGGAGCGGGTGGTCCCCACGGGTGGAGGAACGTGACATCCCATGGGCTCAGGGCATCACTTAGGTTGGGTTTGTGTCCCCATCTCAAAGCTGGGGCAGGATTTGGGGGCTTTCGGGTGGATTTGGGGTCTCCAGGGTGGATTTGGGGTCTCCAGCATGCCTTTGGGGATTGCAGCATGGATTTGGGGTTTGCAGAGTGGATTTGTGGTTTCCAGAGTTGATTTGTGGTTTCCAGAGTTGATTTCGGGGTTTGATGCATGGATTTGGAGTTCCAACATGGTTTTGGGGTTTCTAACTTAACTGGCTTGAGGTTGGTGGTCTCTCAGCCCGGGAGGTTCTCAGGGGGGTCTGTGGGTGCCTGTGGGAAGGTGATCACCCCTCCTGTTCTCTCCCCCCCCTGCAGTTTGATGTCCAGCCGCTTCTCCCCACACATGGTCCCACCGCCCACCCACGGGCTGCACCCCTCGGGCATCCCACACCCCACTATTGTCTCACCCATCGTCAAGCAGGAGCCCACCCAGCCCAGCGCCAGCCCTGGAGGCAGCTCGTGAGTGGGGGCTGGGCCAACCATGGGGACAGGGGCTCGTCCTGGGGGTCCTGACCCCCCATCCTGCTCCTTCCAGGAAATCCCCTGTGGCAGTAAAGAAGGAGGAGGAGAAGAAGCCCCACATCAAGAAGCCCCTCAACGCCTTCATGCTGTACATGAAGGAGATGAGGGCCAAGGTGGTGGCTGAGTGCACGCTGAAGGAGAGCGCTGCCATCAACCAGATCCTGGGCCGGCGGGTACGGTTGGGATCCCCCTGTCAGGGACTCCAGACAGCCCAGCTCCACTTCTCCCCCTGGATCCATCCCTGGATCTGGCGCTCTGCCAGCCCAGGGAGTCCCAGAGATGCAGTGGGGACCAGGGTGGCATCAGGATGGGGAGGGATGGACCTCTGCAGCCCAGGACAGTAGGTCCTCGGGGTCAGCAGCATGGATCTGGGGTTTCCAGCCTGGCTTTGGGGTTTCCAACATGTCTCTGAGGTCTCCAGTGTGGCTTTGAGGTCTCCAGCATAGTTCTGGGCTTCCCAGCATGTATTTGTTGTCTCCAGTGTGAATTTGAGGTTTCCAGCATGGCTCTGGGGTCTCCAGTGGGGATCTGGGGGTTTCCAGCATGGGTCTGGGGTCTCCAGCGTGGTCTCTCCCTGCAGTGGCACTCCCTGTCGCGGGAGGAACAGGCCAAGTACTACGAGCTGGCACGGAAGGAGCGGCAGCTGCACTCGCAGCTCTACCCGACCTGGTCGGCGCGGGACAACTACGTACGTGTGTCCCCCGCGGTCCCCGCTGCCACCCCCCGAGAGGGCCCCTCTCCCGGGGTTTGGCTGGTGGGAGAGGGCTGGACGTGCTCCGGGGTCAGCCTTTGGGGTGCTGGGGGCGGTTGGTGACGACGCCAAGTCCCCGCGGATGCTCCGGGGCAGCGTCAGCCCAGTTTCCCACCACGGGCAGCCAAAAGCCACGGAAGAACCCGAAATCATCTTTTCCAGGGCAAGAAAAAGAAGCGAAAGCGCGAGAAGCTGGCGCAGCAGCAGAGCCACGACACGGACAGTGAGTACCCCCCCTCCACCTCCCCCTGCGCCGGGCTCCGGCCGCTCACGCTGTGCCCGCCCTCCCCAGGCTCCCTGCCCTCCAAGAGCAAGAAGCCGTGCGTGCCGTACCTGCCGCCCGAGAAGCCGTGTGCCAGCCCGGCCTCGTCCCACGGCAGCATGCTGGACTCGCCCGCCACGCCCTCGGCCGCGCTGGCCTCGCCCGCCGCGCCGGCTCCCACCCACTCGGAACAGGCCCAGCCGCTCTCGCTCACCACCAAGCCAGAGGCCAGGGCTCAGCTCGCTGTGCATTCCACCGTCCTCTCCAGCAAAGCCTCCTCTTCTTCTTCCTCCTCTTCCTCCTCCTCCTCCTCCTCCTCCTCCTCCTCCTCCTCCTCCAGCCTCAGCAGCCCACCCTCGCTCCTCTCCAGACCCATCCCCTTCCCCTCGGTGCCCCCCACGGCTCTCCTCTCCTCGCCCCCTGGCTCTATCCCGGCCGCCTTGGCCGTGCTGCAGACGCAGCCCCTTTCCCTGGTCACCAAACCTGCTGACTAAGGGAAGAACCTCATCCCCCCTCGTCCCCTCCGCCTCTCCCCTCCCCGCTGTACATTGCAGAAGCCACAATCAAGATTCAAACGCAGCCAAAACCATTATTGGTCAATATTTGACCCTTTCTGAACTTTTTGGAAGCAGACTCTGGAGGAAGGGGCTTTCTACTCAGAGCTGCTGCCAGCAGTCGACCTAAAGACTGTTTTTATTAAAAAAATGGAAAAAAAGGAAAAAAAAATAATGAAATAGACCCTCCACAAGCTGCCGACGATGGGAATCTCTGTGGGATGAGCCAGTTGCCCGTCGCTGCCGTGGGGCACAGGGATGGCACCGGCACGGTGATGCCGGCACTGAACACAGCGAGTGTTGTGCTGGAGCCGGCATTCCATCCTGGATCCAAGAGCAGGAATGCCTCCACCTGCTCCCGAATCCTCCCATCCTGTGGCTCTGCTCCCATCCCCGGCTCCCACCTTCGCTCTGTCCTGGCAAGGAGCCGGATCCTGTCCTGGGGATGCTGCTCCATCGGTGCTGCTTCTGCCTGCGGTCGTTCTGGGGTGGGCAGGGTCCGGGGCTGAGCCCTGGGGGGGGTTGTGTTTTTATCACCTCGAAATCCTGTTATTTTTCACAAAAGGAAATAAAACTACAGCTGCAACTCACTGCGTGAGCGTGGTCCGTGCGGGAAGTGCTCGCTCCTTGTGCATCCCCACCTTCCTGGGAAACGTGTCGGGATGGGCCTCTGGTCCCACTGCAGAGGTCCAGCATCCCCTGAACACCTCTGTCAATGGGCACACGATGATTTTGGAGTGTCCATTTTGGGGTGCTGGAGCGATCCAGGCAGCAGGATGTGGGGGATTGGGTGACCCAGTTTAGGAGGTGCTCAAGAAGGTGGGAAGTGGGAGTTACTGGTGTGCACTGGATGCTCCGTGCCTGCTTCTTCCAAACCAGGAATGAAAAGACTGGGATGAAAAAGGACCGGTACAAAACCAACCCAATGGATTTTCAACTCACCTGAAGTCCTCAATCAGTTCAATATTTGGGCCCATCAGGACTCCTCCCTCTTCCTGTATTTTAACCGGAAAAAACCCTCAGTTTTCCCCCTGGAACTCACAATTTTGTTTCTGTTTCAGATTGACTCCGAGCTGCACCCATCCAGAGCTGATTTATGGGGTTCATAGTCCTGTTCCATTCCCTTTCCAGATTTCCCTCCCAGTTCCCATATCCCAGGACCCTCTCTATCCACACCCCTCCTGCATTTTGGGGACTGTGGTGTCCCCCAGCTCCCAGCTGTGGTGGTGGTGACAGGTGAGCCCATCCTGCAGCTGCTGGGTCTGGTGGGACTTTGGCTCGTTTGGGGATCAGTGATGTTTTTCACTCCTGTTTTGACATTTCCCTCTCCCTTTCCAGCGCTGAGAAGCCACCAGGGAAGTATTTTTGGGGAACTGGAGCAGCAGCAGGTGCCTGTCTGCAGGTAGAGGGGAAAGGGACCATCTTGGTGTCCTTACGGAAGATGCATCTGTGTTTTCTAGATGAACAAGACATTGGCATGTATAACTCCAGCAGATGACACCTGGATTTGAGGATTTTCATATCAGAGCTGGGCAGAACTACCAAAAACTCACATGTGACCTGTGCCCCCAGCTGAGGGGCCCTTGGCTGAGCCCCAGGGACACATCTGGAGCCAACACCAGCTCCCAAAACCTTGTGAAAGCTCCTGATGCCTTCTGCAAACAGAAGCAGTGGGGCCTGCAGCAGGAGCATGGCTTCTCAGCCAGTGCAGGACCATCATCTGGACAGCAGAAATTCCCAGCTTGGAGCATCCTAGAGCTCCCAAAATCATTGCTCCCGGGGGTCCTGGCTAGTTGGGAGCCGCGAGCAGCGAGTGCAGCTCATGCAGCTGCTTGGTGCCACCACCACTGAATCCTCCCAGTGCCCGGAGCACGACTGCCACTGTCACACCCAAGATAACCCCAAATCTGGGAGGTGTTTCCATTCCACACTCCAAATTATTTAAATTTCCTTCTTTCAAAGAAAAAAAAGTGCAGATTCTGGGAAGGAGCTCCATTCCTCTGCAGGAGCACCCGGGAGGACCGGCCACGTGTCGCACGGTCATGCGAGCGCCAGGGTGGAGGGGATTAGGGTGTCACCCAAAACGTGCGTGGCCGTCACTTGAAAAGAGCCAAAACGGAGCTTTTTTCAGGGAAAGTGTTCCAAGAAAGTGGTTTTGGGTGAGGAACGCCTGGATGGCATGTGGCCTCGCTCTCCCCGACACTGGGAGCGGGCTGTGGACAAACAGCTCCTTGAATTGGATTTCATGGGAAATTAAAGGCATGAAGAGACCTGTCACAAGAATTAAATCTGAACCGGAGCCAGACAGCTTCAAACAGATGTTAGGCTTCAGCAGGAGAATATTCCTTTGTTTTACTCAGCGTTTTCCCATACGGAAAAGGAACATCTGTTCCAGTGCGTTCGCAGTGCTCCAGAGCTGAGACGGGATGGGATTATCCCTGCCAGAGGAGAAGGAACTGGTCCCCAAACCCTGCTGGCCTCACTGCTGCTCCTGGGAGAGAGGGTGAGACCAGTGATGTGTTGCTCCAGTCTTGGGTGGACCCGCTGGATCTGTCGTGGTTGAATGGATCATAGGATCAATATATCCATCGTGCCTGCAGCAATACAGCTGGATGAAAATGCTGAATTCAGAGTGGTTTTTCATGGAAAATGGATCCTTCCAGGTTTTATTGGTCCACTGGGAGGTGCTTCTACAGGAGGTGTCTCTGCCCATGGCAGGGGATTGGAACAAACCGGTCTTTAAGGTCCCTTCCAACCTAAACCATTCCATGATTCTAGAAGAGGAAAACTCTGGGGTTTGTCTTTGTTGCAGACAAAAACTGGATATCCAGTGTGTTTCCATTTGGGATGATATGACAAGAAGGTCTGGTAGCCCCACTGCTCTGTTTTGGACAAGTTCTTGATGATTTAACTTGTCCTCAGAGCTGGAAGGTGAAATGGAGCTGCTCAGCCTGGGGTGTTGGAGGCTTAAGACGCTCCCCAGCAGTGTTTGGCTCCCTGGAAGTAACTAAAGGGGCTCCAAGAGAGCTGGAGAGGGACTTGGGACAAGGGCCTGGAGTGACAGGACAAGGGGGAATGGATTCCCACTGCCAGAGGGCAGGGTTAGATGGGATATTGGGAGGAAATTTTTCCCCCATGAGGGTGGTGACGCCCTGGCACAGGTTGCCCAGAGAAGCTGTGGCTGCCCCATCACTGGAAGTGTCCAAGGCCAGGTTGGACAGGGCTTGGAGCAACCAGGGATAATGGAAGGTGTCCCTGCTCATGGCAGGGGGGTGGAATTGGGTGATCTGTAAGGTCCTTTCCAACCCAAACTATTCCATGACTCCATGATTTTCCAGTTACAAGATTTCACTTTTCAAACTTGCACCAAAGCCCCACAAATTTACAGCCAGAGGCCCCAATTTTTCCCATGAGAAATGAGGTGCTGCCTCTGCCACTGCTTCTTCACGAGGTGCATCCCAACCACATCCAGGGAAGAGGAAAAGGTCAAGGAGGGAATGATGTCCCACAGAGTGTTGGCAGCAGAGGGAAGGGATAGCGTGTTGTGCAGAGGGGTGGGACAGCTGGATCCTGCCTTAGCTGAGAGGCACGAAACAGCTGGGACAGGGGACAGGGTGCCCGTGGGGTCCCCGTGGAGGCACAGCCGGGCGGGAGAGCGGGGAGCAGCCGTGGGAATGATGGAGCTGGGGCTGGAAATGAGCAGCTGCATCCTTGGTAAATCACGTTCACCATCATTGCTGCCTATTCCCAGAGGGAAACAAAGCTCGGGAAGTGCCTGGTGGGGATGGTGCAGGTGAGGAATTACCACAGAGCTGTGCTTGGGGTGGAACTGGCTGCCCCATCCCTGGAAGTGTTCAAGGCCAGATTGGACAGGCCTTGGAGCAGCCTGGTCTAGGGGAAGGTGTCCGTGCCCATGGCAGAGGGGTGGGACTGGGTGGTTTTTAAGGTCCCTCCCAATCCAAACCATTCCCCGATTCCGTGAGAAGGTTTCAAACCTTTGACAGCCGAACCCCCCACGCTGCAGCCCTTGTGGGGTTTATTGCCAGGAGCTGGCGAACGCCTCGTTAAGGGCTCGTAGGGAGCAAACTCCTGGGAGTGCTGGCTCTGGGCGCAGGAGCATCTGGGAGCCAGCTTGGAGCTTTCCCGGCTGGTTTTTGGACGTGGGGTTACTTCTGTCACCTCCTCCCGATTGCTTAATTGCAGCCACCTCCCCCCTCCCTCGGCCCCCCTGCTCCGGCTGGCCAGGCACTAATTGAAAAGCCTAATGAGGTCCCAGGGGTCTCCTGCAGAGATGAAGCTAATTAAGGGCTCCACCACGAACACCGAGGTTTCCTCAAACCTCTTTTTCGGGGGCCGGGGGGAGAGTGCACCAGATGTCCTGTTCTCCTGCTCCGCACCGGGGTGAGGCTGGCGCTCCGCGTTCTCAGGGCTCCTGCCAAAGCAGCTGGTGCAGAGGCAGTGGCTACACTTAATACATTTTAATTAGCATCATTAAATTCTTCCATTTGCTAATTGTTTCTCCTTTTGATCCTTTATCCTGACCAGATTAGCCCTCTGGGGGAAGGGACAGGATGGGGGATGGAGACATGTCGGACAAGGTGAGGACTTTATTATCTTGTCGCCAGACCTTGGGACAACATGTTAAAACACCCCAATTAGTGTAGATTAAGGCCAGATTTGTGTGTCCAGCCTCTTCCTGGTGGCTATTCTTAGAAAGAGTCATCCCCAAAAAGTGAGATTCCACAAGGATTCGTGAGAATAGACAGCACTAGTCCAGGAACTCCCAAAATGCTGCTGAGTTGGGATGTAGAGTTGTTGTTCAGGTGATAACGCACTCAGGTGACTTTTGGGGTGTCCTGTGCAGGGCCGGGAGTTGGACTTGATGGTCATTGTGGATCCCTTCCCACCCTGGATATTCCAAAATCCCATGTCACAGGACCAGCAGCCGTCTCACGTTGGCTCAGGCTGTGTGGCAAGGGACGAGAGGTGAGGTGAGGTCACTGGTCCTGTTTATCCTGTTTTATCCCAAGAAAAGTGTTGGATCCTGGTGTGAGCCACCCGGCTCTAAGCTGATGTCAGCCTCCTCCATGGTACTTGGGGCAGAATTCTGTTCCCAGAGGCATTGTTGTAAATCCAGAGGAACTTGGCCTCCTCTCAGTCACTCTTGACTTCCAGGGGATGAGTGAAAGCTGGGCATGAGAAACAGCCTCAATTCTCTGTTTAAATCCCAAAAAAGAGTTGGGCCAACTGTTCTGGTCTCCTTGGAAAGGCTGGCATGGGCAGAGCCGAGCAGCAGGGATTGTTGGAATGTGTTGAATTGAATTGAGATTCCCCAGAGATTGGGTTAAAAAAAGAAAGAAGAAAATCAACCACATCATCCGCAATGCTCCAAGGCAGGATTATTCCCCAGTTGTTCCTCCATCTCTGTGTGGGACTCAGTTGGTTTCCATGTGATGTTTTTCCTCTTTTAGGGTTAAATGGAGTGACTGGAGAAGCTAATGGATCTGTGAAGGATTGTGATTCCTTCTGGAGACAGGTGAGACTTGGCTGCGGGATGATGGTGTGATGGGTGAGACACCATGGAATAGAGGGAAGCACAACCTGGGGGTTAAACACCAACAGGTTCATCCTGGGGGCAGATGAAGGCAAAACCATCGATCTAAATGGAAAAACGTGGGGTGACGGGGAGAAAAGGTTGGGATTGGCAGGAATGAGCCAGGTCAGGAAGGAGATGGTGTAGTTTGTGCGTCTGCAGAACTGCCCAGAGAGGTGGAGCTGCCTGGGGAAGGAGGGCAGGGAAAAAGCCGGAGATCAAACTCTTGGAGGATGATGCCCCCTCACGCTGATGTGTCCGAAACAGGAGACAGAGCTGTGCAGGGTCACTGGGTGGAAGCAGGAGTGAACATGAGGAAGATTCCAGAAGAGCACCCCAGGTCCACCTGAGCTCCTTGTTTCACGAGGATACCCAACGTGGCTCGGCAGGAGGAGGAATGCAGCAGGAGCCAAATCCTCTGGGGACAATTTTGGACACAACAGGTGATGTGTGGCTGGGAGGTGACCCTGGGTAACATCAGTCACAGCTCCAGGACACCCAGTGCCATTGTCACTGTGCTGGTCACAGCTCATGGATCTGAGGCCATCAGATCCACCTGAGGAGCTCAGCTCTGGGCTCCAGACCCTGCAGCTGGTACAGGGATCACGGGTGGATTCAGGAATGTTTCTACATTTTATCTGCATCAGGTAGAGATGAGGTTGAGTTCCAGGCAGGAGAGCAGGAGGAGCTGCTGGAACAAGTCCAGAGGAGGACACAGAGATGCTGCCAGGGCTGGAGCCCCTCTGCTCTGGAGCCAGGCTGGGAGAGCTGGGGGGGTTCACCTGGAGAAGGGAAGGCTCCAGGGAGACCTGAGAGCCCCTTCCAGGGCCTAAAGGGGCTCCAGGAGAGCTGGAGAGGGACTTTGGACAACAGCCTGGAGTGACAGGACAAGAGACAGTGGCTTCACGCTGACACAAGGCATGGTTAGATGGGATATGGGGGAAAAATTCTTGGCTGTGGGGGTGGTGAGGCCCTGGCACAGGTTGCCCAGAGAAGCTGTGGCTGCTCCACTCCTGGAAGTGTCCAAGGCCAGGTTGGAGCAACCTGGGCTAGTGGAAGGTTTCCCTGCCCATGGCAGGGAGTGGAACTGGATGGTCTGGAAGGTCCTTTCCAACCTAAAGCATTCTGTGATTCTATGAATCTCAGGAAAGATGGATATTTAGTCTGGAGATGGGAGATGTAACAGCCTGAACGAAAAGCTCTCAGAGGAAAGGAGCAAACAGCCCTGGGTGCCCGGGGGCAGGCACAGCCGATTTCTGGCTGCTGCTGGGAATCCTTGGGAATTGCTGCTGTTGTGCTCGGCCAGGCCAAAAAGAAAAACAACGGGTTATCCAAAAAATTAAGTAATATCCGAAAAGTAACAAGTTATCAAAAAATCCCCCCCAAACCCTAGGTTATCAAAAAATGAAATAATATCCGAAAAATAACAGGTTATTAAAAAATAACAGGTTATCCAAAAAATAACAGGTTTTCTGAAAACACCATGTTATCTGAAGCAGTCCTGCACCAAAGGACAGGAAACCTGCCCTGATTTCCCAAATGCCGCCCCCACAGCCTCCCCAACTCCAGGGCCGGGAGGGCACCCCCAGCGCCCCGCTGCTCACAGCTCCCAGCCGTGGACTCTCCAGGCCTGGGAACAGACCCCAAACCGGCGGGTTTTACCCCAAAAAGCCGCTGTGACCCCGCGCTGGGGGGAGGAGCTGCAGCCGGGCTGCCTCCGCCAGGGGGCGCCAAGGCCCTCCCGCCGTGACCCCGGGCTCTTTAAGCCCCGCCCCCGCCGACACAAGCCACACCCCATCTGCGCAGACCACGCCCCGATCACACAACCACGCCCCCACATCACTACTGTCCTCTCACAAGCCCCGCCCCCGCTCCGCCTCAGTCCCGCCCCCACTTCTCCTTAAGCCTCGCCCAGACCCCCAGATCTGCCCCGTCGGCACAAGCCCCGCCCCTTGTCCCTCAGCCCCGCCCATCGCCCCAGGCACCGCCCCGTGCCCCCAGCCCCGCCCCCGCGCGGCCGCTCTCGCTCCCTCCCTCCCCCGCCCGCCCCACTCTCGCGAGATCCGCGCCCGGCAGCGGCCGCCGTGAGGGGCCCGCCCGTCATGGAGGGGCCGCGCCCGGCGCTGCCGCTGCTGCCGCTGCTGCTGCTGCTGCTGCTCGCGCTCCGCGCCGCCGGTGAGCCCGCGAGGGGCTGCCAGGGGCGGCAGGGGCAGCGAAGCCCTTGGGCCGGGGGGGCTCTGGCACCACCCTCGGTTTGCGGGGGCTCCTCTGCCCTGGGGCCGCTGCTGGGAGGGGGCCGGGAGGGGTCCCAGGGGTCCACTCGTGCCCCCCTCGTAGCCCCCTCTCGCCGGGTCCCCCCGTACCCCTGGGGCCCCCCTCGCCTTCCCCACCAGCTCCCACTTGCCCCCGTGGGTTCCCCCCTCCCCGCTTGGGTTTCCCCGTCGCCCTGTGAGGTTTCCCTTTCCCTCTCGGGGGATTTCCCCATCCCCAGATCTCAGTTCCCCCGGTGCTGACTGTGCCCCCCGTGTTTCCACACAGCACAGGGGCAGCAGGCGGAGAACGGCAACAATTCCCCAACCAACGGGGCACCGCAGCAGCCTGAAGCGGGAGCGGGAGCGGCAGGAGGAGGCGGCCAGGGGCACGGAGGGAACGGGCAGGCGGGAGCATCCACACCCAGCGACAAGGAGCAAGAGAATGCGGCCAACGCAGACACAGGGCAGCAATCCCAGCCCAAAACGGACACGACCAGCGGAACAGAGACAAATGAGAACCAGAAGACCAATGAACACCAGAACACAAATGTACCTGGACAGGGCAGCAATGAAGAGGAGAAGAAGAAGAAGGAGGAAACTGAGTCACAGAACAATCCAGGCCAAGGCAACGGCGTGGGGAATGCCCAGGGTAGCACAGGCACCAGTGGGACTGGTGGAGGCAACGGTGGAGGTGGAGAGGGACAGAGCAACGGAGACCAAGACGGCAGCACTGGCAACCAGGCCAGCAGCTCAGGCACCAGCAACCAGGGTGACGGCACCCAGACCCAGAGCAGCAATACCCCCACCCAGAGCAACGGACAGCAGAACCAGCAGAACAACGACAACAGCAATGGCGAGAACACTGGCCAGAATGGTGGCAACAACAACAACCAAGATGACAACAGGCAGGAAGGTCCCAAGAAGGAGAACAGCAGCCAGGACAGCAGTAACAAGAACGGGGCTGATGCCCAAGCTGAGAATGGCAAGAGCGAGGACAACAACAAGAGCAGCGAAAAAACAAATGGGGACAATACCCAGAGCAGCAACAAGGACCAGAGCACCAACCAGGGCAGCAGTGACGGGAACAAGGATGGGGGCACCAACCCCACAAACAAGAACACCAACCAGGGCAGCAGTGACGGGAACAAGGATGGGGGCACCAACCCCACAAACAAGAACACCAACCAGGGCAGCAGTGACAAGCAGCAGGCCCAGAGCCAGGGCAGTGCTGGTGAGAACCAGAGCAATGCTGGTGACACCCATGGCAGCGATGGTGCCAAGCAGCCCAGCAGCCAGGACAATCAGAACTCCCAGGTGGACCAAAAAAACCGCCCCTCACAGTCATCTTCCTCCACTGCGGACGGCGATGGCTTTCTGGGCAATGAAGAGACCCCCGAAGAGGAAGACACTGAGACTGAGGAGGGCAGGGACACCTCCTTTGATCGGGAGAGAGGCAAGAGTGTTCCCTCCGTGCCCAGGGCCCGCTCAGAGAGCAGCCACTTCTTTGCCTACCTGGTGACCACGGCCGTCATCGTGGCCGCCCTGTACGTGGCCTATCACAACAAACGGAAGGTGAGTGGCCCTGCTCCAGCCCTGGCCCTCCACATCCCCCTGAGCATTGGGATTGGAACCCACTCAGTCCTTTCCCCTCCCCCTGACTGGTTTCTCACCAGTACTTCCCAGTGTGGTTCGTGTTCACGTGGCAGGACAGCAGTGTGAGGAGCAGGGTTGTAACCAGGAAAGGACCCCTGTGGAAACTGGGTCATCTCAACTCTGCTGCTGATTTTCAGTTGAAAGGGGAAAACACCAAAGGGTTGTGAAATCCCCACTCACTGACAGTTTTCTACAGCAGGTTGCACAAGATTGGGGTTGTTTTTCCTCACAAAGCTGGTTTTGAGGGAGGAGAAAGGAAACAAATTCTTACTGTTTTGCTTGTTGAGCAAACCTCATTATCCATCTTAGCTGGCATTTATTTATTTCAAGTGCCTTTTCACAGGAAATGGGGTCATAGGAGCAGGTGAGTGAAAAACCACAGGCAAGCTTGTGTTGGAAGGAAGATAAAGCAGCTCCCCAACTCACCCTGTCCCTGTTTTATTCTCTCCAAAGATCATTGCTTTTGCCCTGGAAGGAAAAAGATCAAAAACTGGTCGACGGCCCAAATCTGGTGATTACCAGAGACTGGATCAAAAGGTGAGACCAACCCAAAGCAGGGACTGTGTCCCCCAAGGCTGGGGGAAGGTTGGGGTGCCTGGTGTGTGTTGGAAATACAAAATATCAGCCCTTTGCATTAGAAATGGTCCCAAAGCCCTGAGTCAGTCAGTTTTGGAAAGCAGATTTTGGTCAAGGAACAGGGTTTACCAGGAAATGGAAACAAAAGTACTGAGAAATGCAGGCAGAGCTGACCCAGCTGAGCAGGGCAGAGGTGGGAGAGTCTCGAGCTCTGTTGTGCTGAAACGGTTTGTGCCTGGCTCAAGTGACTGACTGTCACCCAAGTGCCTGACTCAAAGAGGATTTTAGTGGGTGAAGGGTAGGATTTGTAGAGAAATCCCTTCCTTCTTCCCCTTGAAACCTTTTTCACCTCTTGTCCTTCAAGGCAGATGTTATTTCTTGCCATGGGAAGAGGAAAGGGAAGCAAATTAAGACAAGAGCTAGTGTTTGCTTTGGGAGCTCATCAGCCCTCTCCAGCCCCAACATCTGGGCAGAGGAGCAAAGCAATTCTGAACTTTCAAGTAATTTAAACCTTTCTTTTTGCCTTTCCAGATCTAGGTTCCTCCTTGGACATTCAATGGGATGACAACAGCCAGCGATGGGAATGCTGTGTTGCCACGGTCAGATTTCAATCCTCAGGAAGGAGGGGAAACATTTTTTGTTTTGCACCTGCACCTTGATAAAGCCTCTCACTTTCCTAAATTTCTCCTTTCCCAGCTGCCTTGTTTTCCCCTTGGGCATCTGGCTGCAGGAAAAGCCAGTCCCAGCATTCCCAGAACTTGTGTCCCAATGCAATGGAATTTGCCATCTGCTGGACTGACCCCTCCTCTTGGGGAGGAAATTAAGGATCTGCTGCACAAAGAGCCGTGGGATTGTCCCCTTGCCTGGGCATGGAGCTGCTGTGGTCACCTCCTCCTGCTCCGTCCGTTGGGTTTGGATGCTCAGGTTGGGAGCGTGGTGATTGCACTTACTTGGAGTTGACCCACCACGGGCCCAGATTTGGGGTTTCTCTCCCTGATTGAGACAGTTTTCCAGTTTCACAGCTAGATTCCCTTTTTCACGCACACCTTTGGCTGTTCTGGGGTAGTTTTTGGGGTGTAGCTCTAACGCTTCATGCTCCACGTGGGTGTTTTTCCTCGCAGTCCTCCCAGCTGAGCTGTTTGCACTGGAGGTGCAGGTTGTGGTGTGGTGCTGTGCAGGAGGGGGTCAGGCTGGGAAAGCTCCATGCCCAGTCAGTGTTGCTGTAGCAGGAGCCACCTGGGGAGACTGTGATTGTTTCCTCTCCCTCGTCAAACATAGGAAGGAGGGAACCTAAATACCTGAGAAGTTTGGGATGAGTGAAGCTTGCAGTCCCTCAGCCTGCTCTCCTGGTTGTGTTGGACTGGTACTGGTTGGATTGAGGGCTGCCAGAGGTGTCGGTTCCCCAGTCACACCTGTGAGGTGGGTTTTATTCCTGCAGTTCTGCTCCCAGGAGGTTTGTTGAAGCTGGGACGTTTCTGGAGAGGGCACAAAGTGCCTGCCTGGCTTTTGCTTTGAATTTTTGCAATTAGGCAGAAAAAATTGGATTTGAGGAATTCAAAGCTCCTCACATGGGTCCCCACCTGCGCCTGGAGCCGATGCCAGTCGTGTGCCAGTCCCCTACTTGCTCACTGACTGCACAGGAAGAATCCCAGGGGGTTAACTTCCGTCCTGGGGGGGATGGGAATGGCCTTTTTCTGGCCTTCCCAGGGTTGGGAACAATTAGTTACCTGCCCTTTGGTCAGCTTGGACAAGGGCAAAGCCTTTTCCTGGTCGCTGTGAAAGCTGCAGCTCTAGTTTGGATTTTACTAATGGCTCATTCCAAGGCGGGAGAGGGGGCTTGACCCTCTCCACACCCAAAAATCCTCCTCCATTCCCTTTTTGACAAGCACAAGGGGTGGAGGAGAGTCCTCTTGGCTTTAAAGAGCTCTCAGGGTTTCCCTGGGAAACTTCTCAGATGCTAAAAGTACTTCAGGAGCTGTTTGGGAGAACGGGAGGGGGAGGTGGAGGGAAGGGAAAGGGAAACAGGGCTGGGAATGTAACCCTTGGGGAGAAGGGTGGGAACTCCTGCACCAAGCCTCCCTGCTCCAGGGATCCCGTGGGATCAGCCAGGCTCACTGGGGGTCTCATTTAGGGCAGGGTGTGGGGAGGGGGCACTGACTGTTGGCTGGTGACAGCAGGGGGACAAACTCTATTCCAACGTGTGGAATTCCGTGGGTTCCCGGGCTGCTCCAGCCAGGATTTTTGGAGTGTGTGTGCTTTTTGGAGTGTGTGTGCTCTATGCCTGCTTTGTCCTTTTTTTTTTTGTAAATTGAGTAATAATTTAGAAAGGGTTTTTTTTTTCACCATCTACTCACTGTTCTATCCTGGGAGCTGTTTCAAATCCTCTCTTGCTCCAGGCTGTGGGAATCCCACCCTAGTGCCAGCAGGGGAGGGAATATTTTGGACCTCAAACACCGTGATCCCAGGCTGGACTGAGCATGAGCTCGTTAGGGTAATGAGGATGTACCTCCCAGCCCCAGGAAGCACCAAAATCTCCCCCCTCAGCAATTCCCAGGGCCAGCGTGTTGTACCAACAGCTCAGGCTGTCCAAACCCTCTGGGAATCGCTCCCAGTTTGTTGAGTTTTATGGTATTTAATTTATGCAAACATCCCAAAGGATCAAGGTACACAGAACCTTTTCCCTTTGGACACACACATTTTCCATGGGTGGTGTCTGTTGGTACAGAGGGTTTTATTTTTTGCCAAATATTTCTGCTTTTTAGGCTTGAACCAGCACATGATTTGTTTTCTGCTGCAGTGAAATGCACCTTGCTTGGAAGGATCAGAATTTTTATAGTTCTTTGTACTGGTTTTTGATTTTCTGTGTGGTGAAGTCAATAAATGGATTAAAAAAGACCCAAAACACTGAATTTTCACTTCTCTCTTGGTTTTGTTTTTTTGGTGTTCTTTGCATGGTTTGCGCTGACAGCTGGCGCCAAAGTGCAGGTTGGTTCCTCTTTATGCAAAACCAGGACTGACTGATAAAAACAGCCCTTTTTTTGGAGCTGTTTGTGCTCAGGGCTCCGTGTGCAGCCGGAAGGAGCCCAGACAGGCCCAGCCCAGAGCGGATTTGAAGCTTCCAGTCTGCTTAACCGTGCCCAGCGTCGCCCAGTTCTGCCGAGGGGGTGGCTGGAGGTCAGGTCCCAAGAGGAGATTAAACTGCTCTGAACAGAGCTTAGTCCCGAGCTCTCCTCTTGGATTTCTTCCTTCTCCCCCAGGGAGCCTTGGAGGAGGATCCCAGCACATCCCAGCTCCTTGGAGCAGCAGAAACTGGGAGAGACTGGAAAAAAGAGACCCCAGTGGTGCAGCTTCTGCTGCCAACCAGCTGTGGAGAGGGGAGGAGAGGGTGCCATGATCCACAGTGGATGATAAGGGCACCTCTGGGGAGTGTTTCCTGCAGTGAATGGAGAAAAACTTCCTCCTTTCACCCACTTTTTTTCCCCTAAAAGGAGGAAATTCCCTGGTACCAGTCTCTCCAGTCCTGGCCTGGCGGTGGTGCTGTGGCTGCACTGGGAACAGGGAAGGCCACTGGTTTTCTTGGGAATGGGGTTGCTGAGAGCTTGGGGGAGGAAAAAAGGGGGAAAATGGGGGATTAAAATGAAAATTCACCTGGTGATGTGGGGTTGAGTGCTGGGCCACACCTTGCTACAAGGGCCTCAAAGCACCACTCTGCTCCGTGTCCTCAGGGTGATTTCCCAAAAAACACTGAATTATGCTCCAAGAACTCACTGAACTCCTTGCCTACTGCCACCCTGATTTGAGAGGGCTGGAAAGGTCTTGAAACATTTAACTCTGATAGGCAGAGCTGGTGTGGTAGGAAGGAACAGCCTCTCAGGTCCCCTGAGGGCAGGAAGGGGCAGGAGCATCCCGGGGTGCAGTGAGTGCCAGCTGGGGTCGTGTCGGGGTGACTGCCCAGGATTCAAAGTGCAGGAGTGGAAATACTGTGAAATAAAATCAGAAATACTTTGCCAACTATGAGCCCTGGGTTGGGCTCTGCTTATCGGGGCTGGGTTGCTGAGATTCTGATACAGGTGGTTTAGCAGAGAGGCCCGGAGGGTGGAGGGGGTGGAGGATGTTTAATGCACGAGAAACTGGGCAAAACTGGGCGAAACTGGGCACTGAAGTGAGAGCTGGGGTTGGATCTGTGCCCTTCCACCCCCTGCTCCTGTGCCAGCTGTGATGGAGGGTGGAGCCAGGGGGGGACTGGGCTCTGCTCCCAGGGAACAAGAGGAAATGGCCTCCAGTTGTGCTAGGGGAGGTTCAGGTTGGATATTGGGAAAACTTCATCATGGGAAGGGCTGTCCAGCCCTGGCACAGCTGCCCAGGGCAGTGGTGGAGTCCCCATCCCTGGAGGGATTTAACAGCCATGTGCATGTGGCACTTGGGGACATGAGTTAGTGGTGGCCTTGGCAGTGCTCCTATGATCTCAGAGGGTTTTTCCAACCTAAATGATTCCAGGACTCTGTGAAACGCTCCTGGATCCACTCCCTGACCTCCAGCCTGGATCCCAAGTGAACCCAACCTGCAAACGCTGCAAACCACCCTCAGGTTTATTTTATCTGATCTTTTTTTGTTTAAAGCTTTGAATCTTGCACGGCCTCATGAGCAAACACATGAACCTGTGCTGATCTCACAGGAGGTATTTTCCTTATGGGTAGGGCACCAGCCAAGCAAACACATCAGTTTTTCCTCTCCAAGACAAAATTCCATGGCCTGGGGAGGTTTGTTTGGATTAAAAACCCATCAAAATGAGTGAGATGGCATTTGCAAGGTCAGAGCTCTTTGGGGTGAGAAAATCAGGGGGAGGAGCAAGCTTGGGTCCCCCTCAGAGCTGTGGAAGCCATGGGGGTGCTGCTGGGGAGGGCTTGGGTGTCACTGCACCATCCTGTGCCTGAATTGGAGGTTTCTGCTCTGCAGAGGGTCCCAGGCAAGATGTTCCCCTTGGCTTGTTAAACCCTCCCCCTGGTATCTCTGCTGCTTCCAGTTTGAGCCGCTCACCTTCCCAGAGGGATTTTTGGTGGCTTTTCATGTGACTTGTCCCTTTCTCACCATGTGTGACAGGGAACAACCTGCTGCTCGTCATCCCTTGGGCTTTTCCCCCTCAGGATCCCTTTGCCCCGGGCCCTGAGGAGGCCAGGGGTCCCCAGCAGGTTGGGGGTGGAGTAGGACCTTCCCTTGACCCCTCGTAGGTGCCCCTGGCCTGGCACAAAACAGCCCCTCCCTGTTCCTGTGTGTCAGGGGACAGTGGAGGGGCAGGTGATGGTCCCCTCCCTCCAGGACCCTGCAGGAACACGGATCTGCAGGGGCTGAGGAAGGACACACAGCCTGCGGGGTGGAAAGGAAGGACAGGGACATTGGCTGTGCCCTGGCCTTGCTTTGTCCTACTTTTTTTGCCAAAAGGAAACTTTTCTGGCTGTTGTTGGTGCATCAGGAGCTCTCCCTTATCTGGGCTGCAGGTGAACATCACAGCTGCCCAGGGAGGGGTGGGGAGGTAGTCAGAGCTTCCATCTGGATCACACTCAGTCTCTGTCTTTGTGCTGTCACATTCCACAGAATCACAGAATCACAGAATGTGCTGAGTTGGGAGGGACCCACAAGGATCACGGAGTCCAACCCTCAGCCCTGCACAGGCCCATCCCCAGGAGTCACCCCCTGTGCCCCAGAGGATCATCCAAACCCTCCTGGAGCTCTGGCAGCCTTGGGGCTGTGCCCACTGCCCTGGGGAGCCTGGGCAGTGCCCAACCAGCCTCTGGGGGAAGAACCTTTGCCTGAGATCCAACCTGAGCCTGCCCTGACACAGCTCCAGCCATTCCCTGGCTGCTGTCCCTGGTCCCCCCAGAGCAGAGCTCAGTCCCTGCCCCTCCTCTGCCCCTGCCCAGGCAGTTGGAACTGCAGGGAGGTCTCCCCTCAGTCTCCTCCAGCTGAACACACCAAGTGCCCTCAGTGTCCTCACACGGCTTCAAATCAAGGCCCTTCCCCATCTCCGTGTCCTTCCTTTGGACACTCTCCAATGGCTCAATCCCTTCCTTCCATTGTGTCCCCCCAAACTGCCCCAATGGTGCAGGTGAGGCCGCCCCAGGGCAGAGCAGAGCAGGACAATCCCCTCCCTGGCCCGGCCATGCTGGGCCTGATGCCCCCAGGACACGTTGGCCCTCCTGGCTGCCAGGGCACTGCTGACTCATGTTCAACCCATATTCAACTTTCCACATCCACCCCTGGTTGAATTTTCCCCCTGACAAGCCTGTGGGCAGAATGGCCACTGGGAGCTCCCCTGGGTCTGCTCCTTTGGGGTCCTTGGGGGCTCCCTGTGGGCCTGTACCCCCCAAGTAAGAATCATGGAATAGATTGGGTTGGGAGAGACCTTACAGGCAACCCAGTTCAATCCCTTGCCATGGGCAGGGACACCTTCCACTATCCCAGGTTGCTCCAAGCCCCGTCCAACCTGGCCTTGGACACTTCCAGGGATCCAGGGGCAGCCACAGCTTCTCTGGGCAACCTGAGCCAGGGCCTCCCCACCCTCATGGGGAAAAATTTCCTCCCAATATCCCACCTAACCCTGCCCTCTGGCAGTGTGAAGCCATTCCCCCTTGTCCTGTCACTCCATCCCTTGTCCAAAGTCCCTCTCCAGCTTTCCTGGAGCCCCTTTAGGCCCTGGAAGGGGCTCTGAGGTCTCCCTGGATCCTTCTCTTCTCCAAGTGAACCCCCCCAGCTCTCCCAGCCTGGCTCCAGAGCAGAGGGGCTCCAGCCCTGGCAGCATCTCTGTGGCCTCCTCTGGACTCCCTCTCCAGCTCCACATCCCTCTCATGTTGGGTCCCAGAGCTCAAGGTGGGGTCTCACCTGAGTGGGGCACAGGGGCAGAAACCCCCCTGCCCACACTGTGGGTGCCCAGAGCAGCCTCCCAGGGCCTTTCCTGGGGCATCCCCAGCTGTCTCCACTCCCTGCAGTGACATGAATGCCCCGGGGATTGGTTCTGGGTGGTTTCTGGGATCTGGCTGTTTGCAGAACTCACACTCTCTCCTGGTCCCGACCTGTCGCTGAGTTACCCGTTTGCTCAGTGATCTAATCCTCTTTGCTGGATCAGCCTTCAAGCCTATTTCCAGGGCTCCTTTCCAGCACGGTCACACTATTCCCTGCTAAGAAACCATCTCTGGGTTTTATTTTTCCCCTACTCCATCACCAGCTCACAGCCAGGCTTCTCCCAGCCCTGCTCCCAGGGGTTTGCTGTCCCAAGTGTCACCATGATGGGATTTAAAGTCACCTTTTATGGATTCATCTATATCCAGGTAGTGTCTGGGAGGAATATTTTCTCCCAGTGATGTCCTGTATCATGGCAGACGGTGTGATTTCAGCCCCAGTAGTCCAAAGGGTGCAAGCCACTGGGAGAAATGGGGACACTGGGAATGCCTGAGGCTCTGCTCTGAAGGAGGGACACACGTAGGGATGGTGGGAGGCTGGGAGAGGAGGGTTTGCAGTGAGCAAGGAGGCTTCAAAATTGCTGAAAGCATCAAAAAAGAGGGATGGAGCATAAAAGAATTGGGATGGAGGGTTTTGGTGGGAAGCTGGGGAGTGAGGAATGGCCCAAGGAGGTATCAAAATCCACAATTAAACCAGATTTGTACCATCAGCAGCTTTAAACCTTGTGCTGTGCCTGTCCAGTTCTACCCAAACCAAGCAAAAAGGGGAGAAATTCTCATCCAGCAGCTGCATTACCTGAACAGAGATGTTTCGGGGGATTTTGGGGAGCAAGGGCTCCCAGTTCTTCTCCCAGCACTGAATCTGGATTTTCCAGTCTCACAAGCTTTGAATTGCAGCCCAAGGTGGAGATGATGCTCTCAAAGGCCTTGCCATGCTCACAGCAGAGCC